CCCAAAAACTTCTGATCTTCCTCTTAATACTTTAAAAGACTTAATGGCTCCAGAGGTAAAAGTCAATGTGGCACAATATACAGCTAAGAAACAAAAACATAAGGTCTTTTTAATTTTCCTAATCCATCATCACACATAAATCTAAATAGTAGCCGTAGTACACATACATCTACAGCTTTTATTTCTGAGATAAAAACAGGGCTGATAAACAGGGAGGAGGCACGGGAACCATGGTCTGGAGACAGCATCAGCATCAGTAATGGATACGTGGGGAAACACAAGCTCCAGACACTCCTTTTTCAACATTTATGAAATTTTCTGCATTCGTGTGCATAAAGTACTGACTTCTGTAGAGATATTACTCACTAGAATCACAGGAACTAAAATAATCTGAACATAAGGAACAAGTGAATAGGAAAAACAAATCTCTCCAGGTATCTAGCCTCATAAATTTTATTTAGAAGACAGATGAAACCATTTTACTCGCGTCAGCCTGCTTGAGAATGCTTCAGCTGGAAAACAGGTTAATAAGCCACCTCAGGAGAGAAGCCTGGTTCTGCTGTCCTGGGCTCTGATGCTTTCATTTAAAAATGAGGGAAGGGGAGTCCGGTCAAGGCAGTGGGGTAGGTGAGCACTGCTGACGTCCTGTAAAACAAACCCTAGCAGGCACTGAGAGTTTGCAGCAGATAAGGCTAGTAAAAAAAAGGGGGGGTGGGGGAGTGCGATGTTAAAAGATCAAAGAGATGAGTGAGGCAACTTCCTTGAACACAGATAACTCACCCTCCCAAAGACAACTCCACTTCTAGTTCGCAGAAACCACAAAACGCCTGGGCAAGTGCCTGTCCTGGATCAGAGAGCACACTATGCTATGGCAGTGTTTGGGCAACAGGACAGAGGCAGGCGCAGGTGACATCTGGGTTACAATCGATACCTGTTCCTTATGCACAGGTATTCCTGCCAGACACACACAAGAAAACTACGTACTGAGATATTCAGAAGGCTGCAAACCAGGGGACTGGGATTTTTTGCACTGTATAGTCACCGTTTCTTTGAAGAAGCTATTTATTGTCAGTATAGCAACTAGGTGCTCTCATTATGGATCAATTTGTTTTAATACACTGCATGATTTTGAACAGACTGAATCAAATATACATGTAGTATGAATCTTTGTGTGCAAAAGGCAGGCTATACATTTTAATCAAAAAATTACTTAATTCCCATTTATTAAACTCCTTGGCAGGCACAGCTTTCTAAAGTGACTAACGAAAACTGAAACTGCAAAGAAAATTACAAATAATACGCATGGTCTTTGAAAATACATTTATCAACTCTTCATCTTCAATCTAGAAAAGGAGATGAGGTCACACCCAAAAATGGTCAGGCCGTCACTTCAATCCATCACAATGGTGTCATTCTATTCCTATTACCAGGATGGGAAACAAACACTAGGACAGTTTTTCTAGCACCTTCACTGGGCAGGCTTAACCATGTTCAAATATATTGATACAAAAAGATTGTCACTTTCATTTCCAACACTGTTATAGATGGTTGAAAATCTGTTATGTTAAAAAACCTTTACCAAATCTTCAACATGTACCTTTCTAGATTACCTCTTCACTTGAATTAACTAGGCGTGTGAACACAGCAATAAGATTTAGACCTCAATAGAAATGAAACAGGACTTTACGCAATGCCTGTCACCTGGCAGGAGCTGGGAGAGGTGGGAGCAGGAGGGCAGGAGGGCAGGTCTGGACCGTCTCTATTGGCCGGGGATCTCAGACAACTTACAATGTGCTAGGACAGTCATCATGCCACCACTAAAAAAATGAACCAACCCAAAATGCAACCGCTCCTCATTAGTGGCACTTTAGAACAGAAGTCCTCAGTGGTGGCCCCAACCCTACACTGGGGTCACCCGGGAAGCTGTTAGGAATGCACAGTGTTTAGCAACTCATGACTTGTGGAATCAGAAACTCTGGCCCAGAACCTAGAAATCTGTGCTTCCATAGGCCTTCCAGGTGATTCTGATGCCACTCGAGGGTGAGAACCAACGAGTCAGCGATGTCCAAGGCCGCTGCCTTCTGAGAGCAGGGCTCATCCCCACAGCCGCACTCAGCGTGGGGATCAGTCTGGCACACGGCAGAGCCCTCCACTCATGCTCAGGCACGGGGAATGGATGTGGCTGTGAGGTCTGAATGGCAGGGCTCCCCAGAAATTCTATGCGACAGAGAAAACATCACTTTGTATGCAATGACTTCATTATGACTCCATTTGCTCAACTATTGGCTCCATAGTGATCCTAATATTTAAAATATTCTAACCAAGTCCGTGAACATGTAAATATTTAACCAACTCAAAGATAACATTATAGACTAAAACCAAGGAGCATATCACCACTGCCTTCAACACTAAAAAGGTCAAAATTAAGGGAACTGCTGTGAGATGGTTCACTTTTTCTCATTACATAAAAAGATTAGGCAACATTTGTAAATCTAAGCAATGTCTCACAATGTGATACAAATTTACATCATGTAATAATCTGAAAATACCAAGGAAAATTAACTACAATCATTCTAGCAAAATGTACAATAAGATGTTCTCTATTTTCACAAGATAATGTGAATAATTTACAGAAAATAAATTTAAATAAGCATACAAAAATAAAAATGTAGGTAATTCATAGTGACAGGATTATTGTTACATAGTTCTTTTAAAACCCGAAAACATACGCAATATCTCGCTCCCATTCGCAAAAGTCCGGCTGGTTGAAATTTTGCATAAAAGACAGAACAAGGAAGAGACTCAGGCACAGCTATAACACAGAACAAAATGGATCATTGTGGCTTCTCATTTAAGTGTTTGATGCTACCTCAAATACATGTATTTTCTACCTTAAACCAAGATGTATAATACATAATAAAAATGTAAACTCAATGCTGTAATGACAATTTCAGAGCTAGAAACAAATTTTAGATACAAAATAACAGTTCCAAAGTCTCTGATACCACCTACGATGCAACCGCCTGTACAGAGCATTTGAGAAATGTAACATCCACTTACATGACTGGTGATGTGATGCAGGCCCCTTGTATTTAATGAACAAAAAACTTATTAACTATACTTTTTAAAAAATGAAAACAAAAAAAGTCATGTATTCAAACTAAGTACACTTCTTAATTCTACCTAATCCTACTATTTTGGGGTCTTAATTTTGAGACACAAGTAGCTTACATGAAATTTGAGTGACTATATTCAATGAAACAAAACTGAAATTTTACTTACATTTATAAGCGGAATACCATCTCTTCTAAAATTCTTTAACTCAGAAAGACAAACTAATGCTAGCTTAAGATTTTTAAATAAACGTAGTCAACAAAATATAATATCTGTTGTAGAAGACGGAGGAATTGGTAGAAATAACAGTAATTCAAGCCATAAAACAATATATCTGAAAAACAATTTTTTTAATGGGAATTATAAACACTAAATTACTTTAAGGTATGCAGTATCCATCTAGAAAATGTAAGGTTCTCTTATTGGAAAAGAACATTAAATATCACAAAGGTACAGACTACTAATTCTACCAAATTAAAAAAAAAAATGTTTTAACAAAAAAGAACCCTTAAGAGATATTTATAATCTAAACATGGTTTTTTAGAAAAAGTGGTCAATATAATATTTCCCAAATATACACAGCACTATGATTATGCCTTTAAATATCCAATCTTGAAAGATTCACACTACAATCATTAAGTTTTTCAGTAATCAAGGAAATAAAAATTTCAAAATGTTTTTCCTACATTTACAAGGTAGTGATTTTGATCTAAAAAAAATAAGAGCTAATATATAATGTATAAATCTAGATTTTAAAGATCGTATACTATAAAAATAGTGAAATTCTTCACCTTTTCCCGGAGTGACATTCCATGAATTATTTGATCACATTCAACTGGCAAACTATATGTATACTTCCTTTTACACATCTGGGAAAAACATTATGTAACGTGAGCACTCTAAAATTGTTTCCTATTTTAAAAAATTTAGTAACGAAGGATGCTACACAGGAAATAATACTCTTGTTAAGTATACCATCAAATTAACCCACATTGTGCTATACAGCTTGAAACTCAGTCTGAAGTTACTCCCCTCCCTGCCCCCCACCCCACCAAAATAAGTCCATGTCTGTAAACATCTGACTATGAAGTAAAAACAAAAATATTTACGACAGTTGAATTTAGGAATTAGGTATGCGGGTGTTCACTATCTTATTCTTGAAAATAAAAGTCTTTTAAAATCATCCACGCCCTATCAAATTTCAGGAATATATTTTAACATACTATTAGATATTATAACAAAACTTTTCACACACACGAAACATTTAAATACCACAGCACTGCCCAGGAAATTTTCTATATTACTGAGGAAAAAAAAAATGAGTTCCTTTTATATCTGACTAGTCCTGTTTGACACTAAATTTCAAACCTTTAAAAGATTTAAACATTTAATCACATTCTTTCACAAAACATTTCCTTTCAACCACACGTTCTTTTTCTCATTTACAATCTAGGTTGTAATTATTAACCTAACCCTCGTTTATTAATCAGTAACTATTATTCACAGTAATCTGTATAAATTCCTGAAATATTCAACAAGTATGTTTCTGAATAATGTATAATTTCAATTAGTATTTGAGGAACAACATCCAACATTTCACTTACTGTCCTTATTGATAATTTCTATTTCTACAATATTTCTTCTCTAATACTACTGATATCGCAGGTAGAGTTTAAAAAAAAAAACAAATATTTAATCTCTTTCAATGAACGCTCACCAGTGAATTTAAATTAAAAAATCCCATAATTAAAGGAATAACAAATTTGAGCTTTATGAAATACAAGCGAACCAATAGTTCTTTAAATAAGAACTGGGTCAAGAAAATCAATGCATTTATTTTCATAAACAGGGAAATTGACAAAAATACATTGCTAAAATAAAACAACTATGGAAACAAAGTCCTTTATTTTATGCATATTAATTACATATTAATAGCATATGAAATCTCGATTCTGCAGGTTTTAAACTTTCAAATCGTGACACACAAATACAGTATTGTGGTAATACTAAAATTGTTTCATATTACCTTTATGTGGAAAGAATTATGGTTGCATATATGACAAATTTACACTTATTTAGAAAATCTAAATTCTTTATTTTTATATCTACCACTTTTAAGCAAATGACATTCAAGTATCTTCCTTGGTATACTAAGTCACAAGAAAAAATGCTGACTGATCCCGCCACAGAGTTGTTTAACTCCACAAGAACACTAACGACTGAGTAACTAGGAGTTCACAGATGCTCCGCTTGACTCTCTTGGAAGCTGACTGCTCCCAGGGCAAACTTGTAACAACGGGAACAAGGATGCTCTTGCTGCAGGGAGTGCTGTGCAGAACTCTGTTCGTGGAGCCAGAGCTGAGCCGGACACTGGCATGTTCAGGAGATGAGGACATCTCTGTGCACTGGCTTTCAAATGTTCTTGGGTGAATCTTACAGAATTTCACAGCCTTGGCCAAAGGCAGCCTGGTATTAGCATCAAAGGGTAAAGTTTCTCCCACTCTCAATTCAGCTTTGAAGCAAAATATAAAGCTAAAATTTACTTAAGGATTATATGAATAAAAATATAGATGATGGGAAAGGCATATTTAGACACAATAGATAGAACTTAAAAATTATAGCTAATGTTAAAACTCCCCACATTTAAATTAAAACAAATTAAAACAAATCCCACTCCCTGCCAATTCATAGTCATGGGAAACATTATGAGAATAATCTATTATTTTATAATCTCCAAGACTGCCAAAAACAAAAGCCCGTGAATGTTGCAAATTTTAGAAAATAATTCCATCCATAGTGTTGTGTCTAAAATAGAATATGAAATAGTACATAAGAAAAATTTAATTGGTACAAAAGAAGTCACCTCAACTATGCTTTACACTCAACTACTTTTTATGCAAGATTTTAAATTATTAACCAAGTTTATTTCTTTCCAAAGTATGCCTTCTGGCAAAAACAGAAACCATGCAAAATGATATTTACATACTGTTCATTTTTAAAAAGCACATTCTTCTTCAGAAAAATGCTAAAAGCATGACACAATAACACTGCAATCTTATGTGAGAAATAACTATATCGATAGCTGATATATTAGATTTGGGGTTTAAAGATGATTCCTTAAATGTAATTTTAAATTAAATGTGGCTAACATACAAACTTTTAAATATATCAGACTTTTTTGAGTGAAGTTATAATGTGATAAAATCAGTTTTTCCCTGGTATGGAAATTAAACTTCAAAATTCACATTTGATAGTAGGGGAATCTAGTATGGTTCCAAGGACTCTAGCCATTCTCAAGTTAATTGTGTTTTACAATCACCTCTAGAACTGAATTCCTAGGAGACAAACATACCTAAGCCTATCAGACAAGTTTTACTGGAGAGACTAACCAACTACAGAAAATATTTACAACACTGCAGAGTCAAGGCCTCTTTAATATTTCTAGAAACCGACTTTCTCAAGAAATGCCTAATTTCTTCTAAATCATGCAGCAAATCCTTACTTAACATCCAACTTAACAGTACTGTATGATTTGAAAGAAAATTTAAAGAGTTAAGATCTAGATATCAACACCAAATAATGGCAAATAAGAGTAAAAGTAGACATTATTTTATAAGCAAAAGAGATTTGCCTTCAAACGGTTTTTTTTCAAGATTCAAAAGATTTATTTGGAAAAATCAGCACAGGACAAAGATATCCTTATTAGTCCTTCATGGAACATCTGAATGCTCAGAATCTCTATGAAATGTGGACAGCAACTCTCTGGGTTCACAGAACATCAGTGGTTGACACAAATGTAAACTCCCATGCCCCCACCTCCAATGTCCTACTCTCGTCTGGGCCCCTTATCATCAGCTGTCATTAGCTTCTATTTTCAGTGATAATTTGCACAAACTAAAAAGCAGAAAATTAATCTTCATTTCTAAATGGCTGGGATAATTAGTTAAAGCAACCAAAGTATTACTGTTACAGCAAAGCTTAGTAAAACTATAAGAGAACACAACTAATAACATTTTTAAATTATCCAAAATGATTTCTTTATTGAGAGTAAGTGACTCCACAGATTTCACAGGACTGCGGCATACTCATGTTCAGCTACGGTCACAGCACAGTTGACATTCACAGCGATGAGCATTGTCATTACCATTCTAATCTACAAAGCTCATGAATAAAGAAAAATACAAAAACCTTGAGTTTTACAAAGGAAAAACTTTAAAGTCTACATACATTAACAATAAAACCATTTCTTCCAGGTCACAGGTTAAAGTGTAAAGGCATACCACTGAATTTTTTAATCTCTAAATAGCCGGGAATGAAAGAATGTTCAATATCTACGACGCTTATTAGGGCCCTCAAAGTTGCCCCCTTGGCCCCCTCTACCGAAACCGGCAGGACCAGCAGTGACAGGGCCGACACCGCTCATGGGTGTCTGAGGGGTTTCCGAACCTGCCCTACTCCCCATAGGGGAGCCCATCTGGGACGGCGGTCCTTGAGGGAATCTATCATTGTGCTAGATACCACACAATACATATGAAGTCCATTTGGAACACGCCAAATGTAAGTGACAAGAAAAATTGGCAAAATCCCAAGTGGTGGTGTCATGAAGGTCAGCAGAAAGTCCAGCAGAATCAGGATCACACATAGAAGGAAGAAAGGAGCAATTTAATTAGTTACTATGTTTTAAAAAAAGAAGCATCTGAAGAGTTACATATTGCTAATGCTATGCCCAATTTCATGAAAAAAAGAACTCATTTTACGAAGCAAATGCAATCTCGAACCTCATCAGTATTACAGTACTATTCTGATCTTTTCTTAAAAAGTTCATATTGCATGTAACTGTGCTGTATAATAAAAACACTTTGTAAGAAATCAGAGATAAAACTAGGGAGCAGCATCATATTAAAAAAGTAAACATTTAAAAAATTTCAACAGCAATACTTTTAACATAGAAAGTATGAGATGTTTTTCTAGAAAAACTATTACTGGGAAAATAGATTTTTAAAAATCAACAATTTATTAACATATACTACTAACAGCACAATTAAACATCCAAATCATATCCTTTGAAAACCTTCACAGTAACAGCCGCTTATTTAGTCTCAAAGGCTGAACAGAACTCCCTGTGTGGTAGTACATACACCACCAGTGTGAAAAAGGCCAAAGATGGTATTTAAATTAAGTTTACCGTTTCAGAGGTGTGTTTGGGGGGCAGGGAGAATGGCCCCTTCATATTGTTTCTAAGTTATCACTAATGATTATACTGCTACACAAAAACGTAATCAGTGGGGTTTGGGTTTTTACTAGCTTTCAGACATTTTACTTTAAAATTAAGCCTCCACTGAAGGAAACAGGTGCACTAATTATATGTTAGACACACCACCTGGTCACAGTAGCTAAGATGGCATTGCCTCTTTTATCTCCCTGTGCAAACACGCATTAAACAAAACTTTAGCATGCCCAACTTTTCCTAATTCATAAGTGATTGCATTTAAAGTAGATAAATTTTAAAATGGTAAAATACTGCCTCCATCAATACTAAGACACCCATTCACTTTTAACATCTGAGACCAGGAAAGCTTTACAGCTAGTGGCATGTCAGAGTTTAATCTGCGGGGTTTTCTTTCTTAGCAGCAATGGCACCTTAAGATATTTGTGGTTCCAAAATGAAAGGGCCTTTTCAAAATATACAATCAACCAATTTTCCTTTTCTAGATGGCATCTAGAACAACTATTAACAAAAACTAAACGAGAAAACGTTTTACCAATATATAGCCTCATTTAAACAGTGACAGTTTTGAAGGGAAATGAGTTTTGAAGGGAAATGAAAACAGGACTCAGTCTTGATACTGATATTCAAACATAATAAAAATTACAACTGAAAACGTTTTTATAATTAATGCACACAAAGATATCTTCACACTCTCAAACTGAGACATAAAACTGTCTACTTTAAATTTAGTAACAAATGTAATTAATTCTACAATCAAAGTTTAAAATTCAACTTTAATGTAAAGAATTTCACAGTTAAAACAAATTCTCTGAAATTAATCATAAGATATCTTTCTTTAATAAATGTTTACAAAAATTTGTTTTCACATTTATTGGTTTTGTCCCCCACCAAAGATAAGGAGTCCACACAGGAAAAGAACACAATCAAAATATCTGACTGTTATACTGAATGCTGACAAGAGGTGGGCACAAGTTAAAAGCATTGTTAAAAAAAGAAAAAAACAACAACTGTAATTAACCTACGTTTTTGCTACATGCCTAAGTGCCAAGCATGCCATGAATGGCAATCATAATTCTCGGGACACTTAAAAATCGCCTCTCACCCATCAACATATAACTTCACAAAATTACTTTTACTTCACTGGATATCAATCTTTACTGTCAAAATAAATGATGCCAAATTATGTTAAGTGTGAAGTTACCTTTGGGGCAAAAGCAGATACTATTGAATAAAATCGAAATAAGGGTCGTGATACATTACCACCGCTCCATTATCTGGCATCATTGGAGTCCCCATACTCGCGGCTCCTTCTGGCCCCATGGAAGGGCCAGGACCCACCGGTGGGCCAGGGAGAGCTCCTCGGGTGTTCATACTCATACCCAGCACTGGAGGAGGACCTTGGTTACCAGCGGGGGCTGGGCTAAACGCATCTACGCAAAACAATCTGTGCTTAGAGCTGTCCTATCTTGGTTCAGTAAACATTAAAACGTAACAACACTTAAGCACTCTATACAGAAGACTATCATCAAAGCCATTGCCCTTGAGAGTAGAACACTCACTTATCTACTCAGTAACATAGCATCATCGGCACCAATACAATGTTCATCCCCAGAACAAAAGCACATGAAACAAATAAGACAACTATCAACTATTTTAGAAAATCTGAGACTGCAAAAGCTTGAGAGTTAAAAAAAAAAAGTATTATTTGCTATAGTCTTTAAACCAAATAGTCCCTTACAATAAGGTGAATAAACTCTACCCATTTAAATTAAAAGCAAAGAATTAGCACTTAGGAAGCGACTTAATTTTCTTAAAGTCATGACTAAAAACATTAGCAAGTACATACACTGCATGGTCATGAGAGGACCCATGTCCTCTGACATGCAGTTCACTGTATTCACTGTAGCTAACCTCCTAACTTTTACAGTCACCGAACATCTCCCCCAGTTATAGGAGGTACTGTTTCTTAACTTTAGACGTAATCTAAAGTGAGATGTAACCTAAACAAAAAAGTGAAATGCAACCAAATACACATAAAATATTAATAAAGCATTACAAAATTTTCCAACATGCTGAAATTCTGCAAATGGGAACAATTTAGATATACTTCAAATTTTTTCATCAGAAAGATATGCACCTGCCTCACAGTAACTACAACAGTGTTTGAGCTGTAACAGAGTGCTGCTTATAATGGGCTCAAAGACAGCATATTTAGATTATCGTCAAAATTTTTTTCATTTTTAAAGTGCTCATATATACTTGTTTATGATTAAAAATTCATTAAAAAAAGACTGACTCCAACTTTGAGTTCTCTTCTAGTATTTTACTATGAAGGTCAATTTTATGACACTTTGAAAGTATCTCAAAAACACATCAAACAGGAGTTGAAGTTTTCGTTCAAACCCACGACTCACTCCGCATCTAATGCAGCTGACTACAGCAGGCCGAGTCCAGGCAGCGGCCCCGTACAGGCTGCTGCTCTTCCTGATCCCAACCCCTGGGAACATGGCAAGTTCACAGGGAGGAAACTAGTGCTCCTTACAAGCTCTTGCTAATATGACTACATTTAAACTCTCCAACAATAATTCTATTCCCTTAGTACAGCTATAAATATTTTAAAATTGTATTGGAGACTTCTACAACCTCACAATGGAAATGAACACGGTGGAGATGGTATCAAGGAGCAGTCCTACCTTGATTTTACCCCAAACCATCAAGGATTAGGTGTTTTTTTAAAAAAATTGAACATAACTTTTATACCTAACTTCTGAGATTCAAATATCACTATACAACTATGGGCATACTAAAATAACTAAAAAAATAGTATTTCCAACTATCAGTAGCTAAAGTAAAGTATTATATTTAGGAATTACGTCTCCTACCACACAGCTACAATTAAACTGAATTTAAAGATATGAGAGTTGTCAGAATTGTGTGGTCCCCTGAAAAAGTTTTATAATCCATGTTTCAATTGGTACATACACTGGAAATACACCAGAAAATCCACTGACATATTCCATTAATGTGACTTGATAGGATATGACAATTTACTGACAGTAGTTCTGACTACATGATGATACATTAACTGCAGTCAACCCTTAAAACACAGTCTCAGGTTGACTAAAATGTAAAGAGGAGAAAATTAAATGGATTAGACTTTAAGAGAGTTGAGTAAATGCTCCAATGTAAATGTGGTTCTCTGATGAATAAAATGCCATAAAAATTTAATTCTCTTAAATTCCTAACTAAGGAATCTAAAGGCACATTCTCATATTCCTTCTGATAAAGATCTAACCAGTCAGAATCTTTTTGGGGGTCTCTGCGACATCAGAAATATTTCAAGTTTGGTTCTGATTTAATGACAATCTATAATTATAATAGCATTTCAAACTGCCTACAATCCATAATAACCTCACACTTATAGCCTTAAAACCACCTGGACTGTTATATACCATCCTACAACTTACTCTGAAAAAGACAAATACTGATACTTGTACTTAACATATATGCAACTGTGATTAATAAATTACAACTTCTGATGTACTCTCTGCTGATCATTTCACGTATCCATCGTTATTAACTCACTAAATTCTTTAAGGGCAAGGGCTTTATTCTTTATGCTCATTCTGCAACCAGAGATGCTCAGTTAAACACTTTGGTAGAGGAAAAAAGTGACCAAGTAATCAGCAATAAACAATTTTAAATCACCTGATTGGCAATGGCAAAGAAACTGCCATAAGAGGTAGGAAGAAAGCTGATCATAAAAAACACTTGTTCCATATATTGGGTGATTTAAGATTCTTTATTCTATATACTATACAACCTAAGTAGAATCTAGATTTTCTCACTGGGTGTGCATGTCGTGCACATTGGAATGTTAAGGTGATGTAATCTTTACAAAAATATGTACATCTGAGATGTGCAAAGATTTTAACCTTATGACAGCTTCTGTGGGACAATGGAAAATGAATATATAAAATTTAATTATTTATCTAATTTTTTAAATGCATGACACTTCAAATTTAATAACACTTAGGAAAACATTTCGTACTTATTTTTCCCTAGCTTATTTACTTGATACTGTTTTCCTGACAACCTGGTTATACAGTCAATCAACATTAAAGATACTAATAATATAGGCATTTTCTTATATCAACTCTAAAGATATGCATTATCCTAAATGTGCAACGCTCATCTCACTTCCTTGACAATTTATAAATGTCTCCAAACACTGCGTATCTGTGCACAGTACTGTAGATTAGGGCAAAAAGTTAGACATTCAGTAAAACATAAAAATAGCTACACAAAAGTTACATGAAAGGTTATCGTAAAATAGAAATTTATAAAATATTCTCAAAAAGTTTAGAAATACTAAAACACAAAAATTATCAAATTTCCATGGTGAAAAAGCCAATTTGAAGGCATGAAATTTGATTTTTAAAACATTCATAGCTGTATTACACTATGCAATTACGGAACCGAACAAGTGTCAGGTTGAATCAAAACCTGGTTACAGGTTTCTTTCATTAAATCTATTAAAAGATAATACATCTTTTAACCTTCAAATAAATACAAAATGAAATGTTCTTCTTAGGCATATATTTTTAGTATACTTGTATTTTTTTAAACTTTATAAATATATTTCACCATCACAAAAGTTGGTTCCAAATTTTAGTTTGTTACTAATATGTCAATATCCAAAAAAAAAAAAAAAAAACAGCATGTACAGTTCCCCAAAGAATGATAAGTTACAGAAGACTTTTGCTTCGAATCCCTACCTCCCATGTTTATTGCTCCACGGGGACCCATATCACCCATTCTCATTTCCTGTTCTCTCTGTAAGTAAACATAGTTGTCAGAGTCAACCTATCGATCTTATGACATTACATTTCCCACCTAAAATCAAAAAGAAAAAAATAAATTGGGACATCACTTTCCATTTTTAAATTTTTAATTTTCCAACATCTTTTACTTAATAAAACACTGAAAAGAAACTTCAGTCTCCTAGGCTTAATATACTAAAAATGCTTACAGCACCTAAGTTTATATTGATAGATTATCAATGAGTCAGATTACATAAAATTTACCACAGAATGTTTTAATGTGCTTATTCCAACAGATCAAAGAAATGTGCCTAGATTCCAAGAAAAGAAAAATCTTGTAATAATAACCACCAGAGCCAATTATTTTTTCCTCCCTGGTTACTGAAGTCTTAAAACAGAAATGACTGTTTCCGTTTTTAATATTCAAATGCATTCAAACATTCAATACAAACAACTACGAGGCGCTAAGCTAAAAGCATGTACAACTTTCACTTTTGACATACTGTAATTCATCTTTGCATTTTTATTCACATACTCAAGCATTATTTCACCCAGGACCTACAGATATACCATAAATATCTCCACTATACACAGTTATTGAAAGTTCAACATAACATTGCTTCTTTATTAGAACAAGGATTTTACTTGGAAGCCTAAAGAAAAATGTTATTATACAGTTGGCAAGTTCTGAAACAAAATGCTCAAGGTTAACTATGACATAAAAGGTCACACAAATGTAGAAAATATCTTCATTTTCAGTACAGAAACTGCTTCCTAAAAACTCATTTAATAACAGCCATAGAGAATTAACTTCATTAAAATCTCTAGGTGAAATGACTCAACATATTATAGTTGAAATTTGCACTATTATTTGATAATCTTTTCCAATATCGGCCCAGTGTGTTAAATGTAGCAATTACAAAAAACAATGGGACAAAACTAACAATGTCTGAATCTAAAGAAGGCAAAATTTTTCTTTTAAAAGCAATTTTATTAAAATGTATTTGTTTAAAATTCCACTTAGTAATACAAAATACTGGTGAAAAGCACCGATACAGCTAGAAATAAAGGAAACAAAAACCTACAATGGATAAAAGTGACTAAACAGTGACTCAAACACCCACCTGACCTAATGGAGATGCGGTGAAAGGTAATCTTTAATGAAACTGATAGTACAAGAAAAATGCCAACCTAGATAGCATCTTGAAGAAATGTTTTATCACATTATTCAGAAAACTTAAATGCCAAATCTTTCTCAAAGCCATTTTTTAATTTTTCTAAAACTGTCTCATAAAACTTTTGACTATTAACGGATAGTATTGACCAGCAAAAAGACTAAACTATTCTATAAAACTGACTACTGATAAAGCCATACACCTTTCTAATTATATAGAAAATATTTTATAATCACACTTAGTACTATTACCAATAAATCAAACTGAGCTGTCATTTCCAAACCTGCTGATAAAGTAGGCAATTATTATAGTCTGCTTGAGACTTCAAATTTCAGTCTCCTTATATACCCTAACACCCTAACTAGATGCCTATGACCATTGGTGGGGACAAGGAGAAAAGACTACCATTTGTAGTGTCTTTTTATAACTTCGGCTTTACCTATCACTTTCTGAAATAACAACGTTTAGCTTTATTATTCACAAAGTTAAATGTTTTAAAAAATTATTCTTCAATTATTCTATTATTCCATTTTCTTAACAAAATTTTGAAGAAAACATATTAACATAGTGAAGAGATCTATGGTTTTAAGTCAGTGATTCGACAATGGTCGTAACAACCCCTTCCTGATGCTCTAGTATAAACTGGTTCCAGTTCTAAAATATATTTCTTTAAATGAAATAAGATGTCTTACAAAAATTCAGCTAATATGCATATCAGTATGCTTAAAACACCAATTCATGTATGGTAGCATTTTTCACTAAACACACACAATTTATAAATGTTGGCATCTCCTTAAAAAAATCATTTAGTAATATCATATACAGCTTCGCTCATAAGATTAACAAAAAAGGATAGTATAATTAGATGACAGACCGTTTAACTATTTCAGAAGCAAAAAAAGTTTTCGGCTTCCTACTTGTGTCTTAAGGTCACTGTTTCTTTCTGTAAATCCTATTACATACTTCCAGTAAAATGAAGACCCAGAGATTTTAGTGTTACCAACGGAAATGAAGACAGTACCTCTCATTATAACTTGGCATGTCCACCATCAATGAGAATCACTTGACGTTCACTGTAACTGGGTGCCCATACAAGGCCTTCACTTTTCCCATCAATTACTTCAAATATATTTTAAATTAGAACTGGCACATACTATGTGATATTTTTATAATACAAATTTTAATGATGCTGTCTTTATTATTTATCAAAATTAAGGTGTGGTTTAATACGAAACAACCTATATATGTAAACATCTTAAAAGACTACAGTGCAATGAAATGTGATGAAAACAGTTTCAATTAATTCAATTAATCCTCACAGCAACCCTATGAAGTAAGTTTATCGTTATCAAATTTTAGAGATCATAAAACTGAGGCCAAGGGCTGTGAAATAACTTACTTAAGATCACACATATAGTAAGTGGTTGAGCAGACCCATAAAACTGTGTCAAGAGTTCATGAAATTTTCACCTTCACAAGGCACCTTTGTTCAAGAAAGATATCCAAGAAAAACTAACAAAAGGTTTGAAAACATCTTACAATACTAAAAGCCTAAATGGCGGCCCCAAGGAAGCTTGCACTGCGCACCCAGTGAGGGCTGGGGACAAGCTTCCGTGGGAAAGGGCCAAGCCCAGGACCAATGTCCCTGATCCAGGCAGCTTCTAGTTACAGCCACCCCTTTCTGTAACTTTTGACCTGTATTTGGAAAAACACGGGCCTGAAAAAAACATTTTCCCTCACAGTGAATAAACAAGGTCACAGTACTTTCTAAGCACTATGACCACGTGGAGACTAATAAGCATACACTTCTAGAAAGTCATGAAGAGCAATCTCCCTTGCCAATGATCG